CTACGAGTAGCTCGCCGGGAGGAGAAAAAGAAACAAAAAATATCATGAAGGACACCGTAAGGACCCCTTGGCCGGCAGCCGCATGTTACGAATTGTTCGGACCCTCTCGTTTTATGCCAGCAAAGCGATATTGTGCCGCCGCTAGTTTTCGTTTCTCTTCCTCACTCAGGGCTAACAACATCTAACACTGAGGAAAAAAAAACGAAAAACACGATGTAAAAACGAAATTTGGGACAGAAAATAACCTACGAGTTTTGGAGGGCGAGACCAGTTAGGGTTGCGTCAGATTTGCCATTGAAAAGGGCTTCAGCACCTTTACTTCTTGTGAAGCCGTGAAAGTAGAAAACTCGGAGGCTGGAGGCCAGACATTTTACGCAGGGAAGCGTAAAATACTATTCTGGATTCTTGAGCGCGGGAGTGTCTTTGAACGTTCCCATCACAAGATCCCCTAGCGGTGAGATGCGGAGCACGCTGTCATGGTCAAGTGGCACAACCGAGAATTAATGTCCCCAAAAAGGTACAGAAATATTCGAAAATCGAAAAGCAGAATACGACGGTTCACTCACCGGGTGCCGGCACTGGCGGTATAGCTTGCGGGAAAGTCTGGAAGAGGGTTGGTCCAGTTGGTAAACTTGGTTGAATATTGGGAGCTGGAAACGGTACTGCGTTTGGTAGCCTGAAAATCGGAAATGTGTGGAAAATATTCATTATAGAAAGAGAATAGCAGATTAGTACTGTAATTGATGCTCCTTCGGCACGCCTCCCAACGAATTGGCCAACATCGCATTGTTTAAAAGTATTGCGTTATTTATTTGATGCTGTCGTTGTAGAAAATGGTAGAATGGAATGTCGACAAACTGGAAACGATCTCCGTAAGTGTCCGTGCGAACTTTCGTGCTGAACTCGACGACAACTTTCTCCTCGTAGGCACGCGACAACTAACCTGAGGATTTGGACCTGCCACATTGGGACCGGCGTCATTCTGAGCGGCCACCATCGAACTTATTAGCAGCCATGGAATAATGAACAGCTTCATGATTGTCTGGAAACGTTTCATGATGGGCTTCAACTGGAATTACATTTTGAATCAGGATTGAAGGAACTTCAACTTGAGTTAGAAACTTGACCTTAATGCTGTAGTCTAACGAAGCATCTTGCTCTCTTACGACTATTTGGTAATATACGGAACCGTTGGTTCTGTTAACAACTGAGCTCCAGCTGGCTGAAACTAATCCAGCCTGCTCCCCCAACTTGAAATAAGACCTTAAAAAGGATCCATTCTGAATTCAGTGGGTGTAAGTGGCCAAAAACGAGTTGCATTACCAGAACAGGGAAGGACAAGGTGAAGCGGGCAGAAATAAACCCTGAGTTAACTGTCACTCAGATTCACTCTCAGTTTAAAGTGTCCCGTCAAGGAGTGTCTCATGGAAAATAAAAATGATTCGCAGGATTCTCCACTTATTAAGAAATAACAAAATAGGAGTAAATAGGAGTAAGGGAAAGCAATCCGAATAAGTATTCCCACGTTCAAAGTCAATATGGCAATCGGCGCAGTAGTTCGGAATGACCCGAG